GAAAACCCTTATACGATCAATGGACATGGAAACAAAAGGAAACAGTGGAAGTTAGAAGATAGATGAGAACTTGCAAGGAGGGGCTTGTTATTCAGAATTCAAAAGACTATTGAACCTTACACCTTCTTTGTAATCATAGCTTGTGAACAAAATATTCAAATATCTTCAGTTTACTTATGACTTAGACTGGTTAGTTGGTGTGGCCAATATTAGCCACCACAGGACCAAACTGGTTGTTAATTTACATCAACACTGTGTTTTGTGTTGAACAAAATGCAGATAATATCATCCAGCTTTAATGAATTATGATCTGTTTTAAAACTTTGTCTAAAAATGCATTTGTCTTAGTTCAACTTGAATTTCTCTCATTTCAATGTTTAAAAAAATAAATTATTATATGATCTAAGCTACAGGGGAATATTTAACCAAGACAAAAGGAGATTTTTCTGCTTTTAATACTGTCTGTTACTTAAGCTCCAGTATATGTTTATATAGCTTGTTTTGTGACTTAAATCTAAGCTTATTTGTCTTTAACCAACATATAGCTTAGGTGTTTCATTAAGAAATATAGAGCTAAAAGTTTGTGATAACTTATATCAGTATGAATTAACTTCAAATCAAAATACATTTCAATGATAAAACAGGGTCTGTCAAGAATAATAACTCATTATTTCATCACTTTACAATTCAGATTGATGATCTCAAAATTGTTTTAAAGTAAAATATTCTGTTTTTATTTTTAAGCATTTTAGTACTTAAAAAATAATTTTAAAAGTTAAAACATTGAAGTTAATAAGTTAAAAACAGTTGGAAAATACCTCATATTTGTAATGTTGATTTTAAAAATTGCAAAAGTATACCATGTCTTTTATCTCATCTAAATAATAGAAAAAAATTTAATAATGTTTTATTTATATAAAAATGAAAACACAAATGTGCTTTTAACAGGTATATCTTTATGCATTTTGAAAATGCCTTTATTATTCCTGACACTGTTGATTCAAAGCATGTGCCATTTGATGAGTAGGTTTCACTCATAATTTTGTAATTGAACTATTTGTTTATGGCTTTATTAGTTGTATCCAAATTGAGAAATTGTGCAATGCCCATCAAAATAGTGACCCTATCAAAACTAAGTTAACTGATAAATCCATTGAATAGACAAGACAACTAAATCATTATCATGAGCCCCTTAAATACTCAGATCTTAGTGGCTTTGTCTTGGTACCTCTGACACTGGGCAGAATTAATTTCTAATGAGCTAATAGTACTAATGGTTCTGCCCACAGCCCAGTTTTTATACAGTATATGAGTCCCAGTAGATCTTTTCGTAGAGAATAACCATGCGATAACTTTCAACTCTGACTTGATCTAAATCTCAAATATTTTCCTGACAGGATAGTTATATTTATAATTGTGAAGTTATTCATGGGAAAATGAACAGGTATTACTCTTTACAACTTGGGTAGTACTAACAATAGGGCAGGCAGGAGAACATAATTAAAACAATTGTTTCAAGTTAGTAATAGAAACCTACCCCGAATAAGGCTATATTTAGTAGCCTTGAGAATATTTTTCCAACCAAGGACATTACTCTTTTTATCTTTATCAGACACACAAAAAAAATTAATATTAAGGTATAAGGGGTGGGATATATAGAAAAACAAAGGCCAAGTTTGCAAAAACATGAAAAAAATCTCCTTAACAATAAGAGGTCTGGAACACATAGTTTTAAGACAATGTGCTCTATAGCAAAATATGAAGGGGATATGCCTTGCTAAAAAAGTACCAGGAAATATGGCTAAAATGAAAATTTCTAGGGCTCCTTATGAGAGAAAAATATTTGCTAAAGTAATTTCATTTTCATAAAGAATATAATTTTTTCTACAATATAATCAATCTTTGACATATAGTTTTTCCTTCTACCCTCGAAGTGGATTTATTTATACTATTACAGTCTAGAGTAGTGCGCAATAGAAAGATAATGAGAGTGTAGTAATTTTAAGCTTTCTAGTAGCTTTTTTTTTAAAGTGAAAAGAAAATGGTGAAAATAATTTTGACAATACATTTTACCTAACCCAGTATATCCAAAATATTCTCATTTCAACTGTAATCAAAATAAAATTATTAATGTGTTAGTTTATATCATTTTTTGCACAAAATCTGGTGTGTATTTTATAGTTATAGCACATTGCAATTTGGGATAGTTACAAAGGACTCAACAGACACATGTGGCTACTGCCTACTGTATTGGATAGCACAGGTCTAGTGAAACTTTCTCTTTAAAGACTTGACAATTCACCTACAGTATTTTCTTTTCTTTCCTTCAATCCTTTCATCAATGCACACTTGTTTACATACTGTTTGACTTTAAGTGTTAGTCTAGGACAGCATGAACTTGAGCTTCTTTGAAGTGCTTGACATATTGTTTGTTAATACAGAATTAATAATTACATTAAATAAAAAGGGGTCCAGCAAACTCTGAGTTCAGGTCACCTGGCCAACTCCTGTGTTTTGTTTGGTTTGTTCAATGTACTATGAATGACTTCCCTGGAGTATGTTTGACTAAATCCCTCTCAAAGAGATCATAATAATCACACAATACAAGAAAATCCTTCTGTGTAAATTATTCTGCAGTTACAATCTGTTGAATAAACAGTTACTAAACAGGTTAGGAACTCAGTGTTTCAAGAACGTTCTGTACTTTATCCATTGTGATTGTCCCAAGGACGCCACTGAGAGAGCAGCAATCGGCTTCAGCCATATCTGAAATCTATGAATGAGCAGCTGGCATCGACATACCAGTGATGAAGATGAGTCGATGTATTCAGCAGTATGTAGCGTTATGTCATAAGGGGCTTTACAGAAGACACCGGGACAAACACGTTTCAGGACTAATGCACTCACATGTGTAAGAATGTGGTATGGTACACGGACTGATGCTGTGGTTGCCATGAGGAGTACTCACTTTTTCAGATCATTCTGCTGCTTTGGGGCTTGTGCATAGCAGGGAAGAAGCCACTTGTGTACAGTGGAAAAAGTATATCAACTAAGAAAACTGCATTTGACTGAGAAATACTTGTATCACAGCTGTCACTGAATTCATTTCATAAAATGATCAACACAACAGGTGCATTACATGTTATGAATCAGAACTCTGTTTGCTGATTCATAAACTTGCCAGTATGCAACAAGAATAAGATGCGTCAAAGAAAGCATTGTATAATCTTCATGCAGCAAAATTGTAACCAATATCTCAAAAACAGTTAATGCAACATTCGACAGGGATTAAATAAGGAACTTGGTACACACAAATGTTCTGAATATGAGAAAATGGTAATCACAATTTTTTTTTCTAAATTAAAAAATAAAAAATATTGTTTTGCATTAGATTTTAAATTCAAGCTTAGGTGACAATGGTAATTTTGGACATTTAAAAAGGATTACTGGGAAGCACATACCAATGCAAGGGTTGGGGGAAAAGGAATTTTGCGAACTAGACCCTGTCCTGTGTCGTGATGTCCTGAGGTGACACGTTGTAGGAAAACGATGCCAATTCCATCTCTGGATAGGTCTCACCTACTGATGTATGTGGTTCTGTCCTTAGCCGAGAACTTAAAGTGGTTCTCACTTCCCTCAGCATTGGCCTGAGAAACGATGGGCTGAATATTTTGAACATGGATTCTTCAAAGGGCAAGAGATCAATGTAAAGCTTTATATGTTTTACTACGCAAATTGTGTAAAGAATGGAGCCCTTGGTAAATATCAAGCAAATTTCTTTCCCACCACGACTGTGTCATTGGGAAGAAGCATCTCTTTTTTCGTGGATAAAAAACTCACAACATAAAACTTATCCCAAAGTCCTGGGAATCATTAATAACTTTTTTAAATACTCAATGTTGATGTTATATATTTAATTTTCGTTCCTTACAACATCGCGTTTAGAATAAAGAAAACCACACATGTTGGCAGCAGCTGGGGATGTGCTCTGATGCTATTCTGAAAATAAGTTGCCATAATTTAGCTTTTGAGATAAATGCCTTTCATGAGGACTGCATATGGACATTTTTCTAATTGTAGACATGTTCATATAATTGGAACTGAATAACTGCATTTACTACTGCATTATGGGAAAAAAAAAGGAAATATTTAAGATAACAACCTAATCTAAATTATAAGATAAATGCAAGTAAAAATATTTTTCATTTAAGAATTTAAAACTGATAGTTCCACAGAGTGGTGATGGGTATATTATACATATTTATGTGGATTTTACAGGGTGTTTCAAAAGTCCCTGAGGACATACAGGATTCACAGTCTCAGCATGTCTTCGCATATAAATGCAAACTTTTTTCTATATTTGCTATAATAAATGCTGAAAATGGCTCTCATGTGCTTATAAATGAGATATTTTTGTTGTCAAGGTCGCGAAGTAGAAGAGGGGTCACAGATGCCATTTTCTGCAGGGGGACTCAGGGACTTCTGGCTCAATCCTGTAAATTAGTCACCCACATAAATATGTATAGACATATATGTAGTATGCATAGTCACAACATAAATATATTTAACATTTAAGAAAATTTAGATATTCTACTGGTAAACTGACATATGTATACCATATAACTTGTATTTATTCAAAGGAATTTTATTTTTTTGGTTGTTGTTTTTCAAATGTATCATTAGCTTAATTGTTATTTCTTTCCCAAAGTTATTAACAAAACTCCTTTATAAAGAAGCAACATATTTTACTTGCACATACATTTTTAAGCTGAAGTTAAGTAATGAAAATTAACATTCACAAATAAAACTAAACGATGAAATTTTTCTTAGCAATTTTCGTTTTCACTTTATAATGTATAATTGTTTCATTGAAACTGTGCTTTAGAAATTAGTTCAAGTTAATGTTTTTGGTTGTTTTTTTTTTTTGCTAGTTAAAAATCACAACGTCTGATATATTAACATATGTCAGCTTCCTACAGGAGCCCTATGGGTCTGCCCACCTGTGATGTCATAGTAAGGAGGGGCTTTTCTTCAGCAGACTCCTCCCTCGGTATCTCCTTCATCACCATGGCAACAGCCTTATCTGCCGCCCTAGAGCCTTTTCCCTATAACAGTGAAATCAACAATGACTTGTGTCAGGAGAAATCTTTAAGTTATTATTTATTACAAGATAGTCTAATGTTTCAAGACCAATCCAACATAAGTGAAGAAGTAGGCTGCTGCAAGTGAATCTTGAGGCTTTTGGCTGAAGAGAAAACACACAATATCTGAAAAAAGATTGTTTGTGAACTTGAGCTACTTTTTCACCTTTACAACTGACATTTAATTTTAACATAGTACTTTATATGTATGGTATATTTTAGGCAATTTACATGACATGAACATAATTTATAGCATCTAGTTAAATACAGTATGAATTGCCTGTTATGTTCATTTATAAATTATTCCTATATAATTTCTAAAACGTTTGAATGACAGGAGTCTGGGACAGGGATTGGGATCAGGGTCTGATTCCCATGGAGGGCTTGGTGGGTGGTCTCTGGAGTCTGTCATTTTTGAGTGGATTGGGCATAAAAAGAATAAAAGTGTCATAAAAACATCTCAAAAATTCTTCAGTGGTCTAATGTCACAGGAATTCACCTAGCTTACTTTGTGGAGCTAGTATGAAAAAAACTTGTAACTCTATGTTTTTGAGACCAAATAATTTTAAAATCTCTTTTCATTGGAGAATCTGTAAATCCAGACATAAATAAAAATGATTACTAATTGAGGCATTGATAGGTATAGATATAAATATGTAGGTATATATATTTCCTACATTTTTTGTCTCATACAAACAGAGTTATAAACTATAAAGGGGTATGCTGGCTTTCTGTCTTTTTGGTTTACTAGATTATTAAATTTTTGAGAGTAGATATGGCATCATGGAAAAAATGAAATAAAATACTACCTTCTTGATCCAATTAGAAGCATCTCATACTATGTAAAAATTAAATAATCTCTAAACACTTTAAAAACAGAAAACTTTAATTTTCTTATGTCTCTGGGCAAAGCCTCTCTGGAGAAAATAATTTTATAATAATAGCACACATGAATATCTGTGCTGTAAATCTATTTAAAATACAAATGTAGCATATAGAGATATCATAGGCCCAGAAACAAAAATGGACATATGTGGTCTGTTGTCTGAAAGGGAATTAAGAGCAATCCAACATAAATGGGAGTTAGGGTTAATATGAATTCTAGAGGTTAATAAATCTTGATCCTTTCTATGTAATGCAAAAGAGTAGAATCACATTATTATCATGGTCTTGCACAGTACTTTAAGAGTTTAGAAGGTAGGTCTATTCCAGGAAGCAAGTCTTCTGAGATGAATAAGGAGTGACTCTAATTGCATTCTACTATAACTCCTGTGCCCTCAGTTTGTTATGTGCTAATCACCCATTTTCTCAGGTATTCCGTTCTAAATAATAAGTGGCAGCTTTTATTTATGAAAACAAAGAAAAACTTTACAGTTACTAGATTTTAGAATGTGTGAATCTCTTTATTTCTCAAAGTTTATTTCTTTGTTTTTAATTTTTATTTAAGAACTAGCATTATTGAATGATAATGTTTATTTCCATGATGGGATATAAACGACAAGAGATTTTATTTATCAGGAGTTACTGTCAAATGTTCTGGAATGTCTCTATGGCCACAATCCTTAAAATCACTGACTACTAGAAGAATAAAGGAAAACATTAAAAAATTGGGGAGCATAACGATCCCAGGTTTATTCTTTAATGATGCAATGTGAACTTCCTAAAATAGAGATGCATACAATTCTGAATTCTGGGAAAAGATTATTATGGAACTATTAAATTGTTTTACATTTTTTTCAAAATCTAAAATTATTGGGATGAAACGTTACATACTATAAGCTTAGCATACCTTTATAAGCTATTCTCATTACAGGTTAAATATAGTTTAACAAATATTTTTGAGCTTATTTTTTTTCAAAAGAGCAAAATCATTTGTGAAGAATTCTTTCCATGCTCCAAGAACTTCTAATAAGATAGCAATGAACGAAGTGGCATGCTTATATTTAAATTCCTAACATACTTAAAAGAACAAATCTAATGTTACAAGGTATAATTTAAAAAAAATAGTAATAATTCAGTCTCTTATCCTGAGCTAAGGAAAAAAAAAGGTCAATTGATGAGCATCTCAAAAAATTTCAGGTCAATATTTCAATACACTACTTATTTGAAATGCTACCAATCCGTCAACTACAGATAGATATTTTTCACATGTGCAACTAGAGTAGCTAGAATTAGCAACGGACATGCCATTTCACTAAAACAAACAAACAAAAAAACCAAACCAAAACAAAAATTAGTCCTTTCATGCTGAACTCTAGAACAAAGCAGTGGTCAGCTAGAAAGGATGTATCATTAACACATGCGGTGCTTTTGATTTCTTGCAGAAAAACCCACCAAAGCCAGGGTCAGGTCACTTTTTTGAAGACAGTGCCACTTTTTCTTCAAGGTTACACCTACTACCTGAAAAGAGTCATGACACCCATGTTAGAGCCTGCTAGCAAAGTTCCCCTTTACAGCCTGTTGGCTTTGAGTCATTCCCCCGAGAGCCTCACTGTTTACACGTGAGGTGCAGTCCGAGGACAGAACGGGAAGGTCTGCCACCATGACATCGCCACGGTTCCAGATACAGTGTCTGAAACCACTGCCAAACCTAGCGAACACACTCATTTATCAAAGCCAGATTTCCCCCAGATCACACGGCCGCCTCCACCTGGTACCTGAAAATCAAACTGTGTTATTTCTGACTTGCCCATGTATCTCATGGGACAACATTTCTAAAATTCAGATCCCGACTGATAATTGAGTTGGCAATTCACAAAACTATACAACTTGGCTTATTGGTAGTCTGTGGGGCTGACAGTAACACAACTGTAGAGGTTTTTTTTCCCTTTGTTGAAGCCAATGGCTCAAAACATTGTAAGAACTACATGCGCATAATTATCCAGACTTCAAGCTCAATTTCTAAATATAACTATACCGAAGGATAAATATTCATCTATTATTTGAAATAACATGGAGACAGCAAAAATGAACTCTTCACTGAATATACACACTCAAGCTTGTAAGTGATTTTGGATTACATTAAGCCTGTGTGCTTTTCCATCCCATCATTCTCAGCAACAACAGAAAAGAATAGTGGCACTTTACAAGTTGATTACTACGCCGTGACACCCTCCAGCAGTTATTTCACTCTCCTTTTTTGTAAATACAACTTCAAAATCACCTTTTCCCACTTTCTGGGTGAGTTTCTTAAGATTTTTTTTTGACTATTTTTCCCTGGTGATTTGCTGTAGAAAATTCTTCGATATTTCTCTTTATCACCTTGTTTCCTGAGCAGTGAAATATATACAATTATAGCTTTTCTAACAAACAATAATAATACCTGAGAATAATCTTTTGTTAACTTCTATTATAAGACTGGGCATAAATGAATGAAACATGGAGAGTATATAGCAAGTGACACTGACATAATTAAGGAAACCCAATGCGGGCTCACTCCTCTTGCTTAAATATAGAACATGAGGAACAGAGTAAATAGCACTGGAAGTCACAGGATCTTCTCAGGCTGGACACCAGGCTGTGCCGCTGCCAGATGACGAGGAGGTGTTGGCTCCAGGCCCGTCTCAAAAGGGAAGGAACGGAAGTATTTGGAGAAGCTACTGTGTGCTGGGCACTGCTCGGTGTTGGATGTATTTATAGTTATTTGTTGCATGAGACCTCTGTGGGGTATACATTGCTTTACTAGGTGGTTTGGGACATTGAGGCTCAGAGACTCAGAGACGGAGTGACTTGGTCAAGGCCTCAAAGCTGGTGTGTGGCTGAGCAGGAAGGGAACCCAGTGCCAGCCTGTGTGCTTCCTTGTCTACCTCACTGTTATCTTTTCATTGGCTTGACAGGCCGAGGGCTTCCCATGCATCCCCCCCCCCCCCCCCCCCCCCCCGTCCCCGACAGCTTCACTGACTGCCATCCGTGCAGGGGGTTTGTGAAATCATCCAAGTTTGGGGCAGCAAGCACTTCTCAGGATAATGATACCGTCTGGATCAAGCCAACATCTTTGAGAAAGATTTTCTTCAATCTGCAATGGTCACTAAGAATCAGCCTCCCCATGACTTGATTCATAAGCACAATTCTAACAAAGTATTTCTGTTTTTTTTTTTTTATTTTCATGGAAAACTAACCTAAGCATGTCATGTGTCACAGTGTTTTTATTCTGTGAATCTTATTAGGTTTATAAGCTTTAGCATCCCTCTAATTCTGATTAAAATGCCAACTCAGCACAATTAAATGCCATCTGTACTAGGTGTTCTGAGATCTATTTTGGGTGCATGCGATACCTAAAAGTATGCAATTCCGTGGTTAGTCCATTCATAAGCAATTTTCTAATTGCAGATTCTATTACTAGTATATGAAATTTTTAAATTTAAAATTATTTTTATTATTCTTAATCTATCAATAATAATCCAGAGTCTTTTTATCAGATATGTTAAATAGAAGTTATGAAGATGTAATAAATTAGGGGAAAGGTAAAAGACTACACTAGTAGTGATTTCCGGTAACCCCATATCATCTAATATATGAAATTAAAATGTCTTCCTTTTATTCTGATAACAAAAATTAAAACACACGACTACCAAAAATTGAGAAAAAACAGAAATAAGAAAATAAAATTAACAAGTCTGACATTCCCCTTCACCCCCAAATTTTATCTTTACAACATTGAAGTTTTTTAGGATGAATGTTTATTGAAGACAAACTACCATCAAGCTCACAAGTGTGAATATATTGAATATATTTCTTCACATATACATACCTGTAAACAAATACCTGGCGTCTATAACATTTTGGTAAGTTTGTTCCAAATGAAATGGTATTCAGTTTTGCATATGCTAAAACCATTTTGTATCTCATAAATTCTGGACTCTGAACTTAAATGCACCCCCAAGAAACTGGCCACAAAAACTAATTTCGGATGACTTTTCTCTCTGTCTCTTATGTGCAGAGCAAGGACAACATTCTTTTACTCA